GACGTTTTATTTTGTGTACAACAGGACTATTAAACCTGTCTAAAAAAAACAAGGACTATTAAAGATAGAAATGAATGATTTCTGTAAAAAAATCAAAACAAATTTGTGTTTAATAAATATTAGGGTGTATAGGTGATAGATTTGGTGTACATACACCAAAATCAAGATTCAATTAATCTCAATCCAATAGTCTGAGCTAACTACAAATGCAAATGCAATGGATACTAAAATGTAGAATTAAATTCAATAATATCAAACCCAAAAGACAATTATCATGACATGTACAATATAGAAATCATAGATTAGATCCAAACTCGACCAACAAATCTTTACATATAAAATGGATCTTAATTGGATCAATTTTTGGATCAATATTCAGATCTTGAACACCCATTGAACAGCCATTAAAGACTAATCATAAGAATGTGATGACATTAAACCAACCAAAGTATATAACCATCACTAGCTAAAAAAAAGTTGCATTAAAATAAGGTAACACTTACTAGTAGCAGAAACTGTATTCGTTTTTCTATTTCCTTGCCCCCATTGATTTTTATTTTGCACCCAACTGAAGAACTGCAACCAAACAAACCATAAGCACTACATTTCTAAAAAAAACACACACACACACACACACATCATATATATAATATATATATGCAATATGTATCTCACTTCATTTGCAAAGATGATGAAATCAGAGCAGTTGAGGAGGAGGAGTGAGAGGAAGTGGTGGTGGAGTTGGGAAATTAAGTAAGATGGTGGTGGAGTTAGAGGAGCAGATCCTAGAAGCCAATGCGAGTAGAGCTTTCAGAAGTAATAAATAAGAAGTGGTAATGTGAGGAAAACCATGGCCAAGCTGAGCATCTTCTTATTGGTTCAAGTTCCTAAACAGTAGTCCATTTTTTTTGACAATCCAACTCTCCTTCCTCGCTTTATATATTGACACATCTGTATGTATCTATGTATATGTACATCTAAGTTCCAACCCACTCCCACTCTAATTCTCTTGGCCTCTTCATAGTCTCTTACACATATATATACTATATAATAAGTGGATTATCAATACAGAAACTAATTACAGAATCGTACATAATATAAATGTTGAAAGGTTAAAATTTACAAGATTTGTTAGTAGTGCTTATTTTGTAAAAGCATAATGTTAAGAATCTTAAATATTTATCAAATATTTTACTAAATGTCTCATATAATGTTTAATTCACATGATGTGATCCTAAACCCAATAAACATTTAATAAAATATTTAGAATCTCTAAGTATTTTCCTTTTTAAAAAATCTTATTTTTCCATGGTTCTAAATCATGGTACTAGTAGTGGTTCAAAGTTTTTGGATTATGCGTTGGACATATCAAAATGAGACCTTATTCAATTAGCTTTTAGAATGTTGAGGCATTCGATAATAAAAAATAATAATATTTTTTTGTGAGCTATAAGTGACCATCTAAGTAGGGTTGTGCAAAATACCGTCTAATCTGTTAAAATCGTAACCGATTCTGTAATCAATCGACCGTTCTAACTGCTAACCGTAGTTTAAACTTTAAAATTTATAATCCGTCAACCGAACCGCTCCGCTTCGCTATAGTTAATACATATATATATTTTTAACTTCTAATGAAATATCAATAAAAATGAGTTGTGAGAGAGAATTAAGATATGAAATTTATTACAAATTAGTAGTATATATAATGAACATATTAAGTAAAATTACTTCGTGTTATATATCTAAAAAATATTATACAAATTAGTGTTATATATTATGTAAATACATGATAATTAGTTAAAATGTTCTTCAATCCGTCAATCCGCGAAAACTTGCCCAAACCGCAATTTGTCAATCCCCTAACCGTCATTCGGTTTGTAATTTTATTCTCCAACTCTCCGAACAGCTTCGCGCACATCCGCTAACTTAAGTAACCTAATGGTAGAATCACTCTCCGTAATATCAAGACGCAATATCAATATTGCCATCGATCAAAGAGAATATTGATATTAAAAAGTATTGACGGATACATATTGAGAATTAGGCTGAATTAGTACATTTAAAACGGTTAGATGCTCTATATTTTGGATCACTGGACTGGTACAAGAGATAAACGGTAGGGCAACAGATTTGAATTGATACATTATGGGACTTGACTAGTTTGGTGGGAATCTTTTACCGTGACGTATATCATGCTATAACAAATATTTAGTGTGTTTATTTTTAATTTTTTAAATATAATTTTTTAAATTTGAGAAAATTAAAATTTTTATTTTTTATATTTTTTTATTTTTATTAAATATTTTTTAAATTTTAAGTAATTTTTTTAGATACACCTTACTTAGATGTAATCTAAATAGTAAAATATTGTAAAAAAATAATTTAAAAACTTAATAAATACACACAAATACGAAAAATGTATTGAATTTTTATATATTTTTTATATTTTGGTATTTATAGTACTTTTTAAAGATTTTTTTCACAAATATTATATTTTTTTATGTATATTTATGTTATCTGTGTCTAAAAATTTAAAAAAAAATGCTTAAAATATTTTAAAAAAATCAGTTAAAATAAAAAAATATAGAAAATAAAAAATAATTTTTTCAAAAGAATTCTAAAAATAAAAATCAAACAAGGATATTTCAACAAAAAGTCATTACGCTCAACTTTAGTTTAAATTTTTAGACACACATAACATAAATATACTTAAACAGTATAATATTTGTAAAGAAAATCTTTAAAAAATTTACTAAATACCAAAAATATAAAAAAATATGAAAATTCAGTATCCTCCGTTTGGGAAGTGGGTTGGCTTTTTGGCTTTTTGGCTTTTTTGGCTATTTTAGCCTGGGCTTAAAAGCTTGGTTTGGGAAGGACTTTTTGGCTTTTTGGCTTTTTTGAGTTTTTTTGTGAGAGAAGAATGTAATGATTATGGGTTGGATGTGATGTTTTGTTTGTTATGGCTAAAATAGCCTATTTTGTTTTTTATGGCTAAAATAGCCAAAAAAGCCTGCAAACCCACTTGCCAAACACAGGCAAAATAAACTTTTTAGTCTAATAAGACAAAACATCACATCCAACTCATAATTATTTTATTTTTTCTCTCACAAAAGTCAAAAAGCTAAAAAGCTTATCCTAAACGAGGCTTTTTAATCTCAGACTAAAATAGTTAAAAAATCAACTCACATCCCAAACGACCCCTCTGACTTATATGATTATTTTAACCCAAGTCATCTTGCCAAATGGACCCTACAATAAATTTAAGAAGGCGGAGATCGATTACATATATATATATATATAAAAGTTGAGCGTTATGATTTTTTTGTTGAATTAATCACTTTGTTTGATTTTTATTTTTAGAATTTGCTTTTGAAAAAATTATTTTTTGTTTTTCTATATTTTTTTATTTTAACTGATTTTTTAAAATATTTTAAGTATTTTTTTTTAATTTTTAGACACACGTAACATAAATACACTTAAAAAATATAACATTTGTGAAAAAAATCTTTAAAAAAATCACTAAATACCAAAATATAAAAAAATATATAAAAATTCAATACATTTTTCATATTTGTGTGTATTTATTAAGTTTTTAAAATATTTTTTTATAAATATTTTACTATTTAGATACATCTAAGTAAGGTGTATTTAAAAAAAATTACTTAAAATTTAAAAAATATTTACTAAAAATATAAAAATATAAAAAATAAAAATTTTAATTTTCTCAAATTTTAAAAAATTATATTTAAAAAATTAAAAATAAACACACTAAATATTGTTATAGATGAATATACTGTCACGGTAAAAGATTCCCACCAAACTAGTCAAGTCCCATAATGTATCAATTCAAATCTGTTGCCCTACCGTTTATCTCTTGTACCAGTCCAGTGATCCAAAATATAGAGCATCTAACCGTTTTAAATGTACTAATGTCACACCCAATTCTCAATATGTATCTGTCAATACTTTTCAATATCAATATTCTTTGATGGATGGCAATAGTGATATTGCGTCTTGATACTATGTAGAGGTGGTTCTACCATTAGGTCACTTAAGTGTAGGAGTGTGCGCGATATTGTTCGGAGAGTTGAAGAATAAAATTACAAACCGAATGACGGGTTAGGAGATTGACAAATTGCGGTTTGGGCGGGTTTTCGCAGATTGGCGGATTGAAGAACATTTTAACTAATTATCATGCATTTACATAATATATAAAACTAATTTGTATAATATTTTTTAGATATATAACACAAAGTAATTTTACTTAATATGTTTCATATATATAACTACTAATTTGTAATAAATTTCATATCTTAAATCTCTCTCATACTCATTTTTACATTGATATTTCATTAGAAGTTAAAAAAATATATATGTATTAACTATAGCGGAGCGGAGCTGTTCGGTTGACGGATTATAAATTTTAAAATTTAAACTGCGGTTAGCGGTTAGAGCGGTGCGAATTAATACGGATTGGTACGATTTTAACGGATTAAACAGTATTTTGCACAACCCTACTTAGGTGGTCACTTATAGCTCACAAAAAAATATTTATTTATTTTTTTATTATCGAATGCCTCAACTTTCTAAAAGCTAATTGAATAAGGTCTCATTTTGATATGTCCAAGGCATAATCCAAAAACTTTGAACCACTACTAGTACCATGATTTAGAACCACTGGACAAATAAGATTTTTTAAAAGGAAAATATTAGAGATTCTAAATATTTTATTAAATGTTTTGGGTTTAGGAATCACATCATGTGAATCTAACAACTATATGAGACATTTAGTAAAATATTTGGTAAAATATTTGATAAAATATTTAGGATTCCTAACATTACGCTTTTACAAAATAAGCTCTACTAACAAATCTTGTAAAATTTTATCCTTTCAACATTTATATTATGTACGATTCTGTAATTAGTTTCTGTATTGATAATCCACTTATATAGGTATATATATGTGTAAGAGACTATGAAAGAGGCCAAGAGAATAGAGTGGGAGTGGGTTGGAACTTAGATGTACATACATAGATACATACAGATAGTGTCAATATATAAAGCGAGGAAGGAGAGTTGGATTTGTCAAAAAAAAAAAAGGGCTACTGTTTAGGAACTTGAACCAATAAGAAGCTGCTCAGCTTGGCCATGGTTTTCCTCACATAACCACTTCTTTATTTATTACTTCTGAAAGCTCTACTCTCATTGGCTTCTAGGATCTGCTCCTCCAACTCCACCACCATCTTACTTAATTTCCCAACTCCACCACCACTTCCTCTCACTCCTCCTCCTCCTCAACTGCTCTTGATTTCATCATCTTTGCAAATGAAGGTGAGATACATATTGCATATATATATATATATGTGTGTGTGTGTGTGTGTTTTTTAGAAATTTAGTGCTTACGGTTTGTTTGGTTGCAGTTCTTCAGTTGGGTGCAAAATAAAATCAATGGGGGGCAAGGGAATAGAAAAACGAATTCAGTTTCTGCTACTAGTAAGTGTTATCTCATATTTAATGCAACTTTTTTATGCTAGTGATGGTTTATATACTTTGGTTGGTTTAATGTTATCACATTCTTATGATTAGTCTTTAATGGCTGTCAATGGGTTGGATCAAGATCTGAATATTGATCCAAACTTGATCCAATTAAGATCCATTTATATGTAAAGATTTGTTGGTTCGAGTTTGGATCTAATCTATGGATTTCTATATTGTACATGTCATGATAATTGTCTTTTGGGTTGATATATGAATTTAATTCTACATTTTAGTATCCATTGCATTTGCATTTGTAGTTAGCTCAGACTATTGGATTGAGATTAATTGAATCTTGATTTTGGTGTATGTACACCAAATCTATCACCTATACACCCTAATATTATTAAAACACAAATTTGTTTTGATTTTTTTACAGAAATCATTCATTTCTATCTTTAATAGTCCTTGTTTTTTTTTTAGACAGGTTTAATAGTCCTGTTGTACACAAAATAAAACGTCAATAAAAATAAATAAATTGAATGATTTGAGTTCAAAATTAAAGCAAAATAATATTAAATCAACGATGTCATTTTATTTTAATTTTAAATTTGAACTGTCAGATTATCATAACAAAATCATTGTACAAAAAAAATGATAAATAATTTTAATCCATATACACATAACAAACAACTCTTTTTCTTCTTCACCCTCCTTCAATAGGCTTTTACCCATTATTTGAGTCACATCTATTATATTGCACTTGGCCTTTATTGTAGCATCGATACATTTATACTAGAAAAGGAAAAGTAAAAAAAACAATTTGTCTTTGATTAAGTTTTCAAAATATGTTTTTTTGTTTTTCATTAAAACATAGTCTGTTAAAAAAAAAAAAATCATCATTTTCATTTGATTTTTTCTTTTTGAAACCAAAAATAATTTTTTATAAAAATGAAATTATTTTTTGTTTATTTATTTTGTTAAATTAATTCTACTTTTGGAAAAAAATAAATTCTAAAAATTTAACCAAAAAAGATGACTTCGATTGTTGTGGGGAACTGTTGGAGGCTTCCACATGGGATACAATCCTCCTCCAAATTAGGCAAGTTTACAGACTTCAAAATTAGGGAAAAAATTTTAAAAACACAAAAATTTAAATTTAAAAAGAAAAAAAAAATGAAAATTGTTTTATAGTGAATTTTGTCTATAGTTCAAATATGGTCCAGGGGTGACAAAATTGTCCAGCTCTGAATGTAATATTATCATTAAAACAAGACTATGAGCCTTCGTTTGGAATGTGAGTTGTCTTTTTTTAACTTTTTGGTTTTCTTAACTATTTTAGTCTCCTCTCTAAAAAAAAAAAACTATTTTAGTCTGGGATTAAAAAATCTTATTTGAAATAGACTTTTTGAATTTTTTAATTTTTGTGAGAAAAAAATATAATAATTATAGTTTTGATATGATATTTTTTTTTATTAACTTTTTAATCTATTTGATCTTTTTATAAATAGCCAAAAAAAATCCATGCCAAACATAGTCTAAATCAAGAGCCACACATTTGATTGGTTTTAGGCAATCATTCCTTAAGACCCATCTAGAAATTCCTTCATTTTTAGTAATTGAGGTCTAAAAACTTCAGCTCCTAACCATGCTCGTGAATTTTTTTCTTTTTCTGTTCTCTTTTTTGGGAACACCTTCTATCACATTTCAATTGGATAGTGATAAAATAATTTCATTTTCATAATAGTATTTTTTTTTTTCTATGTTTGATGTAAGCTTTTTTGTGTGTCATTTGTTAAAAAAAAGAAGATTTCATTTGTAATGTAATTATTTTAAGATTATTTCAATTTATTGTAATTTTCCCTTGCCAATATGCAGAATATATGTAATTTTTTTTTTTTTTTGGTTGTCATACAGAATATATGTAACTTTACACAACATCAAACAAATTATAATAAGATGTCAAATGGTTCCACTCTTGATAAGTGCATGTTCTTTCCATTGCAATTTTACCTACTCAAAAAACTACATAGGAGAAGTGTTTATAATTTAAATTGAAAATGTACATTTAAATTTACTATGAGATGAATTACACACCAAAAAAAAAATTAAGAAATTTTTTTAAGGTACCTGATATTAAAAATTTGTAAGATAAATAACATATAATATTTTCATAATAATTGAGATCCCTCAATATTTTCTCAGAAAAAATTCGACATAAAGAACTTTTGCAGTGATACAGAGACATTTCAATTTTTGTTGTCAAAGAAATTTCTGATTAGAGAGAAATTTTGAAATTTCTCAAGTATGATCACATAAAAATTTTATAGAGGGACTGATTAGAGAGAAATTTTGAAATTTCTCAAGTATGATCACATAAAAATTTTATAGAGGGACTTTAATTAATAAAAAACAATATTAGATATCTCCTATTATCGAAAGTTAGAGAGTGATGTTTTACTAATTTTTTCAAAAATGAATCCACATATTTTAAATTATAATTTTTTTTCAAGTATTTTTGTAAATTCATAATGTTGCTTCCTGTTTTGAAAAGTAGGAAAAAAATTTCAACTTTTTAATTTTTTTGAGGTGTTTTTTTTAAAATAAAAAATAAAAAATAAAAAATAAAAAACATACAAAAAAAATGATTTATTTGACAAAATCATTTTTATTTTGTCAAATATCATTTTATTTCAAATTCATTAGAATAAACGAAAAAGCTAAAAATGTGCATAATAATTTTTTAAAATTAACTTTTGGGGGATGCACCAATAAATCCCAAATTAATAACTTATGCACTGTTTAGTCCTAAAAGTTTTCTTATAGACTGAAAGGTCCCATTACAATGTTAATAACATCAGATACAATGTTAATAACATCATAGTCATGTTACAAACATTGGATTTCAAACATCTAATGTTCATCAAATTTCAATAATGTTTGAAAATATAGGATGAAAAACATCTAATGTTCATCAGATTTCAATAAATTTTGAAATTATAGAATGAAACATCAGATCATTTACATCATTCACATCATGTTGATGTAAAAATGGGACTAAATAGAGCATAAAAAAACTTTTAAGACTAAATGGTTCAACGTTTCAAAAACTAGGACTTATGGGTAAATTTTCCTTAACTTTTTTTATAAATTTATTTTTAACTAACTAGCTAATACAAATTTGATCAACAAGTTTGATCTACCTGAGCAACAAGTGATCCTAAATTCAGCTCGAGATTTTTGTCACAAATTTTTAATTTTTATTTATTAATCCATTTTTGTGTAGATCATAGAAAGCAAGAACCACCAAAAGAAGAGTTCAGCGACTGGCCACAGGGCCTCCTAGCAATCGGAACATTCGGAAATCAAAACCCTCCCAAACAAAACCCAGAAACCAGTCATCAAAATCAACAAATCCCATCTTCCCCAGAAAACGATTTATCAGATTTCACTCCCGAAGAAGTCGGACAACTCCAAAAGGAACTAACCAAGCTTTTGCGAAGAAAACCCAAAATCGAAGTAGAAAACAATTCAGATCTCCCTTTAGACAGATTTCTCAACTGTCCTTCCAGTTTGGAAGTCGATCGTCGAATTTCTACAACAATTTGTGCCAATACGGACGGTAGAGATCAGGATCGGGATCATAATGATGATGATATAGACCGGACAATTAGAGTTATAATTGATAGGTGCAAAGATGTTTGTATGGAAAGAAATAAAAAGGCGATTGGGAAGAAATCGATTTCTTTTCTTCTTAAGAAGATGTTTGTTTGCAGAAGTGGGTTTGCTCCCGCTCCCAGCTCGAGAGATACCCTTCAAGAGTCCAGAATGGAGAAGGTATGTACACCTTTTTATATTATAATTTATAATAATTTATAGTTTATAAAATTATTTCTGAATTTTTAAATTTTTAGTAAAAAAAAATTAAATTTATTTATTTTTAGTCTAGTATAATTTAGAAGGATGGGGATATTAGTGATAATGGGGGAAATATATTACAAAATTATGATTTTAATTATTAATATTTATAAAATTTATCACTTATTTCTAAATATTTTTGAAAATATGAATTGAACTGTAATTTTTCCATTCGTCCTAAAGGTTTTTTATTTTTTATAAAGTATTTAGGTTAATTACACCTTTAATTTGACTTAAATTTTACTTTAGTCTTTATTATTTGAAATTGAACAGTTTTGTCGGTATACTTTAAATCTAGTTTTATTTTGGTGTTTTCACTCATGTTAAAGGTTAAAATTAATAATTTTAAAATATTTGTCAATTTTTTAAAGTGCACACATAGAAAAAATTAACGAAAATTTAAAAGAAATGACCAAATTAAAATTAGGTTTAAAATATGGATGTTGAATTATTCAAATTAAAACTATAGGGATTAAAGTAAAATTTGAATTTAAATTATAAAGATGGAAAATGTAATTAAGCCAACAAATTTTACTAAACACAAACTATATTTTATAGTGTAGCTTCAACTCTAAGTTGAATTCATCGATATATTTATTTTTCTAAATAATATGTTCAATTTTTGGGCTGCAGCTTTTGAGGACAATGCTTACAAAGAAGATGTACCCTCAAAATACATCTCGAGCATCTTCAATGAAGAAATATTTGCAGGATGGACAGTCTTCAAAGACTAATAATAATACTAATAAAGAAGAAGAAGAAGAAACACACATAGCAAATGATCGATCTAAATGGGTCAAAACCGATTCTGAATGTAAGTTATTTATTTTCAGTTCTTTTTCTTTTTCTTTTTTTTATGGGTTAGGGGAGAGGAAGGGAGCATTCTGGGACTAATCATCACCTCTATAGGCTTCGTTTGGGAAGAGGGATTGGGTTGGATTTGAGACTATTTTAGTCAAAAAAAAATAATAATAATATAAGTTTTTTAGTATAATAAGATAAAATATCACATCTAACCTATAATCATTACATTATTTTTCTTACAAAAAAATTAAAAAGTCATTCTTTTTAGCCCCAGACTAAAATAATCAAAAAATCAAAAGGCCAACCCACTTCCCAAACGAACCAATAACTTGTCCAATTCAACTTAATATTTTGAAGGTTCGAAAAAAATATTTTGACTTATAAAATTGGATTGTGCTTAAATTGAAGAATTTTATAAAGTATTAATACTATTTTTTATAATATTTAGTTACACTACAAAATTTTAAAAAAAATAACAAAATAAGAAAAATGGCCAAATTCATTTAATAGTTCATATTTATATAAAGTGGACACTTTACTGACTTAAAACTTAAAACTTTCTTTAAAATCGGGTTTTGAAAAATTAAATTAAGTCCAATGTCAAATTGGGCCAGACTGCAAATAATGTCGGCCCATGTCATCTCTATGTAGGATAAAGACTGCAAATAATGTCGGCCCATGTCATCTCTATGTAGGATAAAGTGAGCATACTCAGCCTCCGTTTGGAAAGTGGGTTGGTTTTTTGGCTTTTTAGTTTTTTTGGCTATTTTAGCCTGGGTTAAAAAGCTTGGTTTGGGAAGGACTTTTTGACTTTTTAGCTTTTTTAACTTTTTTTGTGAGAGAAGAGTGTAATGATTATGGGTTAGATGTGATATTTTGTTTTTTGTGGCTAAAATAGCCTATTTTGTCTTTTGTGGCTAAAATAGCCAAAAAAGCCCACTTTAATTCTTCCCAAACGGGCCCTCAATTGCCTCCATTTCCACCAACGCATTTTGCCTATGGTTCAATGTTGAGTTATAATTTTGTTTTGTGTTTTTTAGGCATATTTGTGTCAAAATATTTGGTGTTGATTATTGAGAAATTGAGAGAGTGATTTTTTTGCTTTTAATAATGAAATTTAATTTGTGTGTTGCAGATATTGTTCTAGAGATCTAGATATGGTTCCATCATAACATTTGATAAATTGCATATAAGAGACACACTCTTGTTTTCTTGAGCTCCACCAAAATAAAGAGAGAGGTATTGGAACACTCCTACATATATATTATTGGGATCATGGCAAAAGTTGAAGTACTTTCCAAGGGAAAAAATGGTGACCAATATATATACATTTGAAGCAATTTCTTTCTTTTGTGGATTGTATTGCCCCATCTTTTTTTCGGAATTGCAAATTAGTAAAAAATAGAAAAATCAATTGTAAAATATAGACATGCAAGTGAGATTTGTACTCTGAGTGAGATTTGTGTACTCTAGAGTAATTAGAACACAGAAGAGTCACTTACATTTTCGTACTTTTACAATTATTGTCTCTACTTCTTGATTTGCAATTTTCTCATCTTTTTTCATGGTTGTATCTGTTTTGTAATATGTGATTTGGTACAACACATGTTATGTAATATTATTATTATTATTATTATTATTATTATTATTATTGCATATTGCTGAGGGATATTGATCTTGACCTTCTCTAGATTTATTCTTCTTGTATAGTTTACTATCTCTTGCTAAGTTATTAAGATTGTGGCAAATTTCTGGCATTGCCACGAAGCAATTGGGCATGTGGTTTAGGCCCTATTTTTAATGATGTGATTCATTAATTTTTTAAGCTTTCATGTAGATTATTTATAAATAAAAAAAAAAATTAAAAAAATTATATTAATTTAATAATCATAATCATATCATTTGATTATATTTATCTATAAAAATGGATATCTTGTTTTTAAAATTGTATTTGTTGTATGTTTTTTTTTTTAACACAAATATGACGAAATTATGTCATTGTAATTATCGGACCAATTTAATTTAATTTTTTTTTTTTGGGTAGATGGCTTGTATACTAAAATCTAAGATCAATGGATTGAATCATCATTATGGGCCTGATTGAATCTGTCCAATTCGTATAAAGGACTTGAGACAACCTCACTCCTCATTCTATTATGCTCCCATATGTTGAAATTTGGCTATTGCAAACAAACAATCATTTGGCTCACACGATATGAAAATGATTAACCATACAAAATTTTATATTAGAATGATAATAATGAGTGGTTTTAATATCCAAATTTACCACATTGTTTGTATAAAAAAAATTGTATATATGTATAACACTTATTCATAAAAGAAGGGTGGATTTAACAAACAAATCTGTGACTCATGATTGGGTTGGTTAGAATATTTTATTAAGAGCTGAAGAGTTTATTATAAGTTATATATATAGGGTCTGGAAAGTGGGTTAGTTTTTTGACTTTTTTACTTTTTTTGTTATTTTAGCCCGGGGGTAAAAAGTTTCGTTTGAAAAGAATTTTTGACTTTTTTATGAGACAAATAATGTAATGATTATGGGTTAGATGTGATATTTTGTCTTATTAGACTAAAAAATATATTTTATTTTTTTGTGACTAAAATAGCTAAAAAAAATCCCAAACTTAGCTTCCCAAACGAAACCCATAAAAATCTTCTAGGCTACAACCTCTTATATTAATTTTTAATTTTTTTTTTTTTTTTTTTTTTTTGTAAAAAAAACCTAATTTTGTGATTGACTTTATCTCATCATATTTTGATTCACTGTTTTTAAGGTGCTTTATAAATGATATTTTTTATTATATTGACTTTATCTCATCATATTTTGATTCACTGTTTTTAAGGTGCTTTATAAATGATATTTTTTATTATTTTATTTTTATTCATAATGTTGTAGTTTCACCGCAAGACATCAAGAATATATATACATATATAATTATCTAAAATTTAATTAAAATTAAAGTCAAGTGAAATTAAAAGTAAAAAGGCAAATGAAAAACAAGGTCGACCTTTTTCTTTCCGATACCTCAACACTTTCAATCCAAACATCAAAAGTCAACATTTGCTAGTAGAATTTTGAAAAATGCCAAACAAGTCCAAGTCCTGAGGATCAACAAATGAATATCTAACTTTTTTAACCCAATTTTAAAATTTCAAGAAGTAATTTCTATGGTTTCCCCCAACTTTTATCTCTCTTTGACCTCATTTGGAAAAGTTTTTTAGGCCAACTTTTATTTTCCTGATTTTTTTTTTTTTTTTTTTGTATCTTTAGTAAATTTTTATTTTAAATTTTGTATCACAATCTTTTATATTTGAAAACCCTAAATTTTACAAAATGTATTAAAATTTAAAATTTTCACTAAAATAAAAAGCAATTTTTCCTCAAAAAAAGCATCTTATTATTTTTTTTCCAAATATTATCATTTTTACAAAATTTTAGAGCCGTATAACCAAAAAGAATTTGATCCACGGCAATTCTCCCATGCAGTCATAGAGATAAGCACTTAGGCCCTGTTTGATTGGGGGATATGAAGATTCTGATTGGATATTATATCCGGTGGGGTTCATATATCTCATATTTGCAAATTTTTTTTGAAGGGGATATAATATCCGATGGGATTGTATATCCCCCAAAAGTGGAGGATATACAATACCACCCCCCCCATTATATCATATCCCCTTGGTTGGGATATGATGTAAAAAGTCCAATTTACCCTTTTGTCTATCTAACATAATATAATTTAATATATATTTTTAGAATTTAATATAATATAATTATTGAATTGAATTGAATTTAATATTATTGAATTTAATATAATATAGGGCAAAACACCAATAAGTCCTAAGTTAAATGTTACACCATTTAGTCATATGTTTATTTTGAAACACTAATAGATCCCATTCCAATGTTAAAGACGTTAAAGCCTATGCGTTGTGGAATACGTGTCTTGAAGTAAGGGGTAAATAACGGGTATTATTTGTTGTTGAATTTACCAAAGAGGGCAACATCGAAACAGAACGTGAATGTAGTGTGAGTGAATTTGGGAGGTAGTTTCTGGAGTGGGACCGTGTTTCCGATGTTGAAGCGATTCCAAATCCGAGATTACAGAGACTGGTTGTTAAGATTTGGGTTGTTGATGTGATTTCCTAATTTGACATTCGATTGCCGAGTAAAACCCTAGTTTGTGGAAAACCTAAATTGTGGAAATACGGTGTTGGCAACATTAGAGTTTGGGTGTGAACATCGTGAAGAACTGTGGTTGGCGTAGAATACGACAGAAATAAAGCTTTGGCGCTGTTAATCCTTGCGGAAACAAATGGCGACAGGTATGTAACTTATGGTGTGATATTGTGTGCATCTTGTCGTTTTGTTTGATGTTATTGTCCATGGTCCCACGGAATTGTTCGGGGTAAACATTGCTTTCATAGTTGTCTACTGGGATGGCCTAATTGTGTTTTTTTATATGTTTGTGGTAGAGCCCTGTTTTGGGTGCGTTGGTGATGATGGTGGGGGAGTTGGGAATTGATTTTGATTGGATGGAAAGGGCTATAAGTCAATGTTAAGTTAGTCGAAGTGATGTTTGGAAAGGGCCGAATTTTTTTTTTTCCAATGTTGAAATGGCAATGTTGTAGGTGGAACATTATGTTGTGTTGGGCAGACATTGCATTGGTAATAATACGTACTGTTTACTATTGAGCTGTGGATAGAAGATCTGGTGGGGATTGATAATAAGTCAATTGCCATTCTAGTGTTGTTCACATGAATATGTTAATTTATTTGTAGGTGTTTGGTGAAATGGGTAAATTGGTTTGTTTTACAATGTTGAAGTGGCAATGTTAACGGTGGACCAGTGTATTGATTTGGGGAAACATTGTACCAGTATGTCCCTCCCATAATGTTTCCCAGTCAGTTGTGTGTTTACTTTGTAGGTGATGGACCACACCTTCTGTCACTGTTATTGTAAATTTCAAAATTAATTGAATTACATTGGGTTGTAGAATTAAATAGGTGTGTCAAACTGATGTATGTGGGATGTGGTGACGTGGTAATGTGGGGTTACATAGGAGTTGGTAGGCAGTTGGGTTACGAAATAACTTACTAACAAATCTTGTATTGTTACTATGTCAAAGGTAATTGAAAATTAATTTTGCTAGTTGATTGTATTAATTTTGTATTATTAAAGGTAACCTTGTATGTTAGTGAATTTTCAGTGTGTATGGTTATTGTGAGTCAGGTTTATTTGATGGTGCAAATTTAGTAATGTTAATGTTGTGCAGGTAGTGGAAGCCGGCAGCGTGCGAAACGTAAGACAAAATGCAGATCTCCACAGTCACGATCTTCTGTACAAACGTCAACCCGATTAGCTGCGAGGAAGCAGTCAAAATTGCCATTCAAGACAAGCAGGACTGGTAAACGTCCTACAAGAAGAGCTTTTGTCGACATGAAGAAGGTAATGTACCGGTCTAACATTGCCGGCGTTATGAAAACCGTGTTAGAATTTGATTTCAACGATCGTCATGTAAAACAATTACACAAAATCCCGTTCTGGCTCATGATTGACGCAATCCGAGTGCATAAATTGGATTTAGCTGCATATAAGAAGTGTGATGCGACGGTGTGCCGTGTGATTCAGACATATAACCCTATTGACAAGAAATTTTACATCGTGGGGATAGGGCTACCAATCCGAAATAGTGACATCCGTTTATTATTTGGTTTGCAATGTGGGAGGGAGAAGTTAGATTTGTCGCATGTTGGTAAAGAACCGGCAGATTTTATACAAAGAAGATGTCCTAACGTCAACCGGATTTCGTCGAAGGTAATCAAAGATGCGCTTGTAGTGGCAATGCGTGGGAAGACTGAGCGAGACGAAGAAGATGTTGCAAAGCTGATGTGCCTGTACATATGTGCCAAATTATTTTTCCTCACAACAGGTGAGTCCATTGGTTGGGCGTTTGTGCGGGTTATCGATAACTTGGAGACTTTACAGTTGTATGATTGGACTGCAACAATCCGAAACTCGCTGGTCTCTTCATTGAATGAGGCGCACAGTGTGATTCAGACATATAACCCTATTGACGAGAAATTTTACATCGGGGGGATAGGGCTACCAATCCGAAATAGTGACATCCGTTTATTATTTGGTTTGCAATGTGGGAGGGAGAAGTTAGATTTGTCGCATGTTGGTAAAGGACCGACAGATTTTATACAAAGAAGATGTCCTAACGTCAACCGGATTTCGTCGAAGGTAATCAAAGATGCGCTTGTAGTGGCAATGCGTGGGAAGACTGAGCGAGACGAAGAAGATGTTGCAAAGCTGATGTGCCTGTACATATGTGCCAAATTATTTTTCCTCACAACAGGTGAGTCCATTGGTTGGGCGTTTGTGCGGGTTATCGATAACTTGGAGACTTTACAGTTGTATGATTGGACTGCAACAATCCGAAACTCGCTGGTCTCTTCATTGAATGAGGCGCACAGCAAGCCAGAATGGGTCACTGGTTGTGTCGTAGCGTTACTGGTAAGATTATGATGTAAAACCCAGAAAAACCATTTAGCTTCTAAAAACATTAACAGTTTGATTGAGTACGAGTAGTTGACGTTGTGATTAACCATTTG